ACTACAAACCTATATAGCTAGACTAAAAAAATGAGAAGACTCAAATACATAAGAAATGAAAGAGGAAATATTACAACTGATAACCACAGAAACACCAATGATACCGACCAAAAGAACAGAATAGAGACACCAGAAATAAATCCATGCATTTACGGCCAACTGATTTTCGTCAAAGCTTCCAAGAACATACAACAAGGAAAAGACAGTCTCTTCAATAAACAGTATTAGGACAACTGGATATCCACATGAAAAAAAAAAAAAAAATTAGACCACTATGTCACACCATACACAAACCTCAACTCAAAATGGATTAAAGGCTAAAACGTAAGGATGGAAATTATAAAACTGCTAGATGAAAACATAAAATATACGCAAACTATATATCTGGTAAGAGTCTAATATCCACAATACTAAAGGAACCCAAGAAACTCACTAGCAAATTAGCCGGGTGTGGTGGCGCATGACTGTAGTCCCAGCTACACTTGCTAACATTTTTTCTTCTCTCTCTCTCTCTCTCTTTTTTTTTTTTCTGAGACACAGTCTCACTCTTTCACCCATGCTGGAGTACAGTGGCATGACCACAGCTCACTACAGCCTCGCCCTCCCAGGCTCATGTGATTCTCCCAATGTAGCCTCCTGAGTAGTTAAGACTACAGTTGTGTGTCACCACGCCCAGCTTATTTTTTGGATTTTTTTTTGTAGAGTTGGGGTTTCACCAAGTTGCCCAGGCTAGTCCTGAACTCCTTGGCTTAAGTGATCCACCTGTTTTGGCCTCCTTTGGGAGCAAAGCACTGAGACTACAGGCTGAGCCGCCATGCTAAGCCTTTCTTCTCTTTATGAATGAATTACATGGAATAAAAATACTTACTGCAAAATTGCACTCATAACTTTTGTGTTGCTTTTCTGACAAGGACAGCTTTTCTTGCCATAAAATGCCTTAAAATGTAAAATGACTAATATCAATTAATTGTAGAGAAATGATGCTACATAAATGTAGCATCAGTGCTTTTTTTCTTAAGGCTGGGAAAAAACCTTAACATCATCCAGTTCAAATAACTTTTTAATCTTTGGATTTTCCCTGAAAAATATTCTCAACACTTTGAGACTCTAATATTCAACAATTTCTTACATCTCTATGAGTACTATTAATAATTACTGCCATGAACTATTAATGATGCCAGTGGATTGATGATTCTTCCTTAGGTATGATGGAGAGGAAGAAAAGTAAAAACCATGCAGTATCTGTTCCAAATATCCTTTCACAATACATAATACTAAATCTAAATCTAATCAGGACCTCAAACAAAAGTCTTTGGTAAGAATTTAGTTTCTGAAGTTGTACTATATTTAAAAATTCAAAGAGTAAGCCCATCACATGGATTCCACAGCAATCCTGAAGAAAAGTAAACATAGGAAAATCCAGTATTTGTCATAATTAATGATGAAACATCAGATTATACAGAAGAATGAATTAGAATGAAATCCAGATCAAAAGCTTGTTATGTTAATGAAACCTTCAGAAGACACAGATTTACATTCTTGTTCAGTTAACTAGCTGATTGTACTGATCTGGACAAACTAATCTCCATGAGCGCTAGTTTCTACTTTATACAATGGGGTTGTAATTCTCTCCCGATCAAAACTCCTCCACTAGAGTTGCGAATATTAAAAATTAAATGTGATTGTATCTAACACACTTTAGTGAAAACTATAGCACTGAATATATGTTGTATTTAATAAATAATTCAAATTTAAAGACAAATCAATCTGTAATATAAGAATGAGTATTTTCAAATCTTTTTCTTACACACATCTTATAGTTAGTTACAAGTATAAACTCTCCTTTAGAAATAAACTCTGTGGTTAAGATTATCTCTTATCTTTTCTTGTAGTGTCCTTAGCAATGTTTTTAAGATACCAAAGGATGACTTGGCTTCTTAACTGCCAGCCCCAATCCCTACAGCAGCTGTTTTCATGTATTTAATATACAACACTTAGTGTGGGGTAAAATTTTTAACAAAAGGTTCTGAGAGAAATAAAAGTTTTGAAATCATGGCCCTAAATCATCTAGCACGCTGATTTGCACATAAACATCCACTGAATGAGTATTTAGATACCAACCTGTTATAGCAAAATTTCCAACAGTTTGAGAGACCTTAACATTACACAAACTTTTATTCATTTTACTCAAGTAGTTATGATTAGAAACTTTTATATAATTATCATAGTATATTATAAAGTATGCTCTGATTTATTACATTTGAATTATCCCATCACTTTTTGAGAACAGTGATTCACAAAAGCAAAACTTTATGGAGGTTTAGAAATAAGAGAAAAAAGAGCTTGGAGGAGGGACCTTTAATGGTGATCTCACTGAAGTATTTTATTGATGAAAAACATGACATCCAGAGTCAGTGTATGTCAATTTTTTCTATTCAAGTCCCCTGAAGGCAGAAAGAATGATAATGTATCCTCTGGGAACAGACAGCTCAAGGTTACACTCTAGACAATCCAAAATTTGGTAGTCTTATAATTTATCATAAAAATTAATGCAAAATTTAGATTTCTGGTTTCTTTCCTTCTAAAATTCAGATGTTGAGACTTGTGAATTTCTGGTTCCTATCTGGAGAGTTAGAGAACCAGAAAGAGCCAAAAAAAAAAAAGGATGGACAAATAGCAAATTCACATTGAACCAGTTAGACTGAACATCTTATACTCAGTTTGGAGTGAGACGAGGTGGGGCATTATATATAGAGGATCAAAGATAAGAATTATGGCAGACATTTACAAAATTAAAGAAGCTAGATGACAAAGTGCAGAAAGACAAGAACTATCAACACAGAATTCTACACTTAGTAAAAATATTTTTTAAAATAAAGGACAAACAGAAACTTTCTTGCCAAAAAATTGTAGAAACTACTGCCAGCAGACCTACTCTTCAAGGTATTTTGAGTCTTCAGGAAAAACAAATACACCAGCAGAAAACCTGGATTTAAACAAGGAAATAAAGAGCAATCAAAACTGAATAAATGAAAGTAAAAAAATGATTTACTCTTATGTTTAATTATTTCTAAACTGAATGGTTCAAATGTTCAAAGCAAAAATAGGAAAATCTATTATATGCTTATAGCATATGTAAAATGTTTAACAACAATGGCACAATAGAAGGCATAAAGTAATTGGCATTTACTGTTCTTAGATCATTATACTGCATATAAAGCAGCATAAAATTATGTGAAAGCAGATTTTGGTTAATTAAAAGTGTACACTATAAACTGTAGAGTGAACACTAAAAAACAATAATAAAATATGTACATGTAATAAACAGGTCAATGGAAGAGATTAGATGCTCAATTAACTAACAGGAGATCAAAAAAAGAAGAAAAACAAAGCAAAAAGATATGAAGCAAATAGAAAACAACTGCTAACTGGTAGATTTTAATCCAACCACATCAATAATCACATTGAAGAGAAATGGCCTAAAGATACCACTTAAAAGAGAGATTATCAGATTGGATAAAAAGCATGATCCAAACATATGCTATTGATTTTAAAAAAAATCACCTTAAGTACACAGACATATGCAGCTTAAAAGTAAAATGATGGAGAAAGATACTGAATGTAAACACTAACCAAAAGAAAGCTAAAGCAGTAATATAAACTTCGGACAAGATGGACTTTAGCACAATAAACATTATCGGGGTTAAGGAGGGCCATTACGTAATGATAAAGGATCAGTGCCCCAAGAGCATAAATCCTAAAAGTTTACATACCTAACATACATGTTTCAAAATGCTTAAGGCAAAGAGTGACAAGATTGAAAGATCAAATAGGCAAACTGATATTCATAGTTGGAGGTTCCAACACACCTCTTAACAAAGTAGGCAGAAAGAAACAGCAAAAATATGGATAATCTGAATACCATCAGCCAATTTGACTTAACATTTACAGATACCCGAACAGAATATATGCTGTCTTCAAGTGCACATGAAATATTTACCAAGATATGCTATACTCTGGACTATAACAAAAGTACAACATTCAAAGGAATAGAAATCACAAAATGTATGTTCACGGATCATAAAAGAACTAAATAAACAAAAAATAGCAAAAAGATACCGGAAAACCCGTTCGGAAATTAGGCAACACATTTCAAATTAAACCATGAGTCAAAGAGGGTTCAAGGGAAATTGAAAACATTTTAAACTAAGACAACAAAACAGCCTATCAAAATTTATGAGATGCAGCTAAAGTACTGCTTACAGATAAATGAATAGTATTAAATGCTTTTATTAGAAAAGGTCTAAAACCAGTAATTTAAGCTTCCACTTTAAGAAACCAGAAAAAAAAAACATAAATCAAGAAGATGGAAAGAATATAGAGTGGAACAAAAATCAATGAAAGTAAAAACAAACACAATATAGAAAAATCAATCAATACAAAATCTGTTCTCAAGTGGAACAACGTGGGTACAAATTATAAAAGGGAATTACTAAGGAAGAAGCAGGAGTGGAAAATCCAAAGAGCGGAAGGTGTAGAAAAATATAATGATGATATCACCTAAGAGTGGTGTGTTCTTAATTACCTTCTTTAATTCTTTTTGGGTTCCAGTTTCCTCATTTGTATAAAGAGGGTGAAAAAACATCTTTCAAAGGGCAAATGTACAGATTAAATGAGATATTCATAAAAAATACTTGAAAAAATAATAAAGAATCTTAGTTCTAAGTAGTATGATCAACAGACTAATTTTTATATAATGCATGAAATGTCATATTAAGTTCAACATACCTTTAAGGACCTTGAAGGTATGATATTACAGCAAAACAAAATTTATAAATTAGCATAAAAATTTTTTTTTTTGGTGGCAGTAATGGAGTTCATTTAGGAAAAGTAATTACAAACTAATAGCATGGCTTCTTGGTAAGTTCTCTCTTCAAGAACAAAGTAAGAAATATAAATGAGAAGCTTCATAAGACAAATATAATCCACTGCAGATATACCTTTTTGCAGATTTTTTCAAAGTTGATATCATCACCAAGAGCAGATTTAGTCACTATATCAGGTTTCAATTCCTGTGAAAGAATAAAACAAATTTTAGTTACGTGTCTATCTTTAAATTAATCACTATTATCAAGTTCCTTTCTATGTCTTAAGAAACTTAATATTAAATAACATCTTAATTTTGAGAAAGGAATTAACTCCCACCACAGTAAGATATTATCATGCTACTAAAACAGCCACAGCAAAATGACTTTAAGAGCAAATCTTTCTGAGAACAACATACAAGGCAAGTAAGAAGCAGTATTTTCAAGGAACTCCATACAAACAACTCTAACCTTAGGATTTTATACCCAGTCAACCAGCTCTTCAAATATCTAATGTATAGAAAAACAGTTTTGAACTGCAAGAATTCAGGAAATATATATATGTGCCTCTTCTGAGGAATCTTCTAGAAGCCAGCAAAAGATAACTTTGATAAAATAATTGATGTTGAGTACTGTATCTATTTGTAGAGCTATGACTAAAATAAGTGTGGGGGTATAGGAGAAAGAACAGTAGGTAGGCTTTATATGTTTTGATTAAGCAAGAAAAACTACAACTAGAAAAAGTAGAGGAGATGGGGAAAGAGTAAGATTACTGACTACTATCTAGGTCGGGTAAACAGGAGTTGAAGGATACTGTTCAAAATGAGCAGAGTAGAAAATAAAAGATACATAAGAAAATGGAAACGTATAGGCAATATGAGATATAAATACGTCATCCATGGAAAGAAAATACAGACTTTTCTAAATACCAAAATAATTTTTAAAAAATCTTTGACAAAGAAGACACATTAAGTAGAGAAATAAACGGTAAATACAACATAGAATATTCAGTAATTAGAATATAAAATATGACAGAGTTGAAAGGAAACATCAGGAATATAACGGAATGTGAATTAGTATAATGTACCTATTAGAAGAAAAATATTGTCAAACTGAATCACAAAGCAAAACCTAACTCTATACTGTATATAATAAAGACAAAGAACACAGTATTTAAAAAGGCTCAAAGATATAGCAGGCAAACAGGAAAAATTAGAAAGCAGGTGCTGAGACTGTGTTTCAGACAAAGTTGAGGCAAAGAAAACAAAATTAAGACAGAAGATAACATTTATGACTATGCGTCAAATAAAACACAACTATTACATAAAGCAGAAACTTCACGAAATAAAGGAAATAGAAATACTATTTATTAGCTCAAGACTCTGACACACAACTTCCAGTCAAGAAAGAACAAAATAGGGAAATAAAATTATAAGATCTTAAAAACAATTGTATCTTCTTCTCAAGTACACATGGAATATTGATAAAAATTATCATTAAGTCAAAGAAAGTATAGCAACAGTAAGCTCCATCAAGTAAAATACTATAAGCAACATTATCTGATCACAATGAAAAAGTAGAAATGAAAGAAAATCAACTAATCAACAAAGGAAAAATTTTAAAAGGCCTTTCCATCTGGAATTAAAACAATAAATAAATAAAACCATCTCAACTAAACAAGTCTTGAGAAAGGGGAAATAAAAACAGATACGTCAGAATTTGTAACAACAAGAAAATACTACGTACCAAAATTTACGAAAAGCATTTAAAGTGGTTATTAGCCTTAAAACAACTGCATTGGTAAATAAAAATGATGAAAGTAAGTGAATTAAATTACACAACTAAAAGTAACCGAAATTACCTCTGTCAATTCCTCATTTAACAAGTGAAAAGTGAGACTCAAATCATGTGATCTGTCCAAGGTCCTATAACTAGGTGGTAGAAAGACTGATCTTAACTGGTATCTTTATTAGATCATCATCTTTTTGGTCTACTGCCTCTATGATAAATTTAAAAAATCTCTACCATGTTTAAAAGCATTCACGAAAAACTAACAAAAAACGAGTTTATATTTCACGGTTTGTGGTGATGTCATATGATCCTTTAACCAAGACCATCAGAATCTTCTAGGTATGAGAAACACAGGTTTTAAAATGAAGTATGATTTATATGAGCTAAGTGTTATTATAACCCTTTCAGCAGAAGGGAATATATACATATGTTTTTTAATAAATGTGAGGCACTGAGCAACCCAAGCGAGTAATTTTGGCAACTTTTGTGGTCTTTCAGAAATATTTCAGGGAGAATGATGTGAAGGTTCAAAATAAACAAAATATATTTAAAAGACATACAGAAAGTGAAGTTGATATGAATTTACTCAGGTTGGGTATATTTAAAGAAATACGTTTGCCACTAAGGCTGTTAATTTGTTGGAGTAATTATTAGCAATACCCAATGTCAAGATTTGAAAGCTAACAAGTTAGCCAAATACATACTGTATGACAGATGTTGGTAGAAGACACAAGGCTTCTGGGTCAGAGACAAACGGCAGTTTATTACTCATAGCAATAGCAGGAGCCAGAGTATCAAAATTTTTAAAAAGCTCATTCACTGTTTTACTTTTTTTCCCCCAGAAACCCAAAGCCCCAGATACATGGTAGATATTAAACTTAAGACATTAAAAAATCCATGTAATAAAAACTACAGGGAGTCATTTAGGAATACAATACCCCTAAAATGGGCTAATAAGTGGAAAACATATTATTTGACTGAGAAAGGGAAAACCATTTGTAGCTCTAGTAGCATGATACGCAAACACAAAGCATGATTACAATAATCTCTACTTTTAGAACCTAAGTAGTGATTAATTACACACCGTGTGCTAGGCTGAATAGCTCCTGGAAGACGTCCATGTCCTAATCCCCAGAGCCTATGAATACATTATTTCACATGGCAGAAAGGACTTTGCTGATGTAATTAAGAATTTTTAAGATGGGGTTATTATCCTGGATTATCCAGGTAAGTCAAATGTAATCACAATCTTCCTTACAAGAGGGTAGCAGAAAGGTTAAAGAGAAGGAGATGCAGAGAAAACAAACAAACAAACAAAAACATAAGTGTGGGAAATGGGGGAGGTGGAGGGGGAAGAGAGAGAGGGAAGAGAAGATGCTATGCTGCTTGCCTTGAAGATGGAGAAAGACGCCATGAGTCAGGGAATGCAGGTGGCCTATAGAAGCTGAAAAGGCAGGAAAATTTCTCCCCTAGAGACTACAAAGAGAATATAGCCCCACTGAAAGCCTACAGAAATAATACAGTCCTGTTACCGTTAGGACTTCTAACCTTCAGCACTGTAAGACAATACATTTGTGTTGTTTTATGCCACTAAATTTGTCATAATTTGATACAGAGGCACCAGGAAATTAAGGTATTTTCTATCTCCTACCAATCTTTGTATTATAAAATAATTCATTATACCGTATTATTTGGACAAACACTATATGCCATAAATAATAATTAAATATTTACCTTAAAACTAAGCAAAATATAGATGTATTTCGATGGGTTAAACTTTTTGTCTTATACCATTTATACTTCAGTATTTTCGATCAACTCGTTTATTACCTTAGTTTTAAATATAGCTCTTTGTGTCATTAAAAGGGAATACTATCTCCTAAAACATGGTTCACATAAAATGTAAAAATTGTGTTTAGCAAATATGGATGGATAGGAAAGCTGTGCTATAGCTGGAATTGTCAGGTACTCTTTTAAGTAAACAATGAGAAACTAAGACTTTTTTAAGACACACAAAAACTGCAATAAATGATATATTATGAAGTTATTCTTATTCAGAAGAAATCAGGTACTGACTTTCACAGTAAGGCTCCTTTTGATGTACTATTACAATTGCACAGATAGCACCTTAAATATTAGTGTTCCTACTAAAAGATTAGAGAAAATTTCACACACAGCTTTTCTGAATCCTCCTAAGAGTCTGCTGTGAAGTCTGCTTGGGAAGTTCATACTAAATTGTGAGGACTAGCAAATTATTTCTCTAACTGCTCTGAAACCTAGATTTACATATATTTTAACTCAGAATATCCATTTTTTAAGGGAGAATTTTAAAAAACTTTTTTTTTTTTAATCACTGTAGGACTGAATTTAACAGTGTCAATAATACATTATAATTTGGTCACAAAATACTTATGTTTTAAGAACATATAAATTACTTATCAAATTGATTATGGAAGCCAGTCATAGCAAAACTCAGTAGAATCTAGAAGATCAGTAATTAAAACTGGAGGAGACATGAAGAATTGAGTTTTCAAGATCTGAAGTAATTAATTATTTACAAAGAATGCCTGGGAAGATGGACAACGTCCCTGGATTTGAGGCTGGGGTCCCTTACCTGACAATACATCAACTCTCTTCATTATAAATTGTTTTCTACACGTGCACTGGAAAGCAAGTAAGCCCTAATTTGGCAAAAAAGTAGCAAACTCTGAAAGACAAATGGTATGTAGAGGCTTAGGCACTAAAGAATCACTACAGCTTTCTGGCTAACTATTCAGAAGTGTACATATATTCTAACCAGCTTGCTGAGAACAATTCTGCTTCAAGTGAGAACACGGTTGGGCAATAAGACATGTAGTCAAAAAAAAAAAAATGCATTGAGGACATAGATAAAACAAACAACTTATGCTTATAATAACCTTTGTTCTCCATATTCTTGACATAAAAATGGAACGAAGAGCCTAGAGTGTAAGTTCTTCAAGGGTAAGAATGGTGTCTTATTCGCTTTGACTGTCAGACTCAAGCACAATGACACATGTTGAACAGAACTGGACCAGTGTAGAAACATTTTAAATGTCTATTTCCTTTTTTCCCCAACTTTCATTTTAGATATAAGGGTACATGTACAGATTTGTTACATGGGAATATTGTGTGATGCTGAGGTTTGGAGTGCAGATCCCGTTCGTGCTGGGAGTGAGGACAGTACCCCATTGGTAGTTTTTAAACCCAGCTTTCTCCCCACTGTGTAGTCCACAGTGTCTATTGTTCCCATATTTAAGCCAATGGGTACTCAATGATTAGCTCCCACTTATAAGTGAGAACATGCAGTATTTGCTTTTCTCTTCCTCTGTTAATTTGCTTAAGAATACAGCCTGCAACTCCATTCATGTTGCTGCAAAGGACACAATTTCCCTTTT